GTGATATTCTCCTGGTCTTCCTTAGGATTCCTGTATTATTAGATATGTCACCGTATGCAGCTGAAAACTACATTCCCAGTCTTCTCTGAAAATAGAATTCGCTAATGACATCTAAACACAACTTTTGGATGAAATTGTTGAGAAAGCTCTTAAAAGGAGGCTGAGCTAGGAGGACACCCTTGTGCACTTTCTTTCTTGCTACTTAGAGTGTGGATATAATGGGGTTATATAGTGACCATCAGGCAGCCCTGAGGATGCAGCCATCGTGACAGATGGTGGGGCATTATCCCATGGAGCTAGCACATTGGGCTTCCTGCAGACCTCGTATTTTGAGACATTTTATCATTTTGAGGTTGGTTTATTTTCAACCTCTATCTTGTTTAAACTACTGTTATTTTGGATCTCTGCCTCTTTCCACAGAACCCAGTTTTAAAAAGGAAAAATCGAAAGGAAGGAGGAACTAGAAGCCTCAATCTAGTCAGTTGAAGAACTGGTTTAAGGGAAGTAAGGATAAAAGATTTAGGTCAGAAATGGGTTTCCACATTTGACATGGATGTGTAATGAAAGGGTCCAAAAGATAGTCATAAGGTGCTGGTGAAGGTTCCTCGAGTGGACAAAGACCAGGAAATAATATTGTATCCACATATAGTTAACCAAGAGGTAACCCTTCAGTTAGACCAGTGTTTCTGTTGAGTTTGACTTTGTGGTCCACCAAAGATCTATCTGTGGACCCCTGGAATCTTATTTTAAGGACTCAATTTGAGATATTCTGCAAAATAAAGTTGACCCTTGAACAATATAGGGGTTATGGGTGCCAAACACCATGCAGTTGAAATATATATATATATATATATATATATATAACTTGACTTCCCCAAAACTTAACTAGTAATAGCCAACCATTGACCATATGCATTGCAACATAAACAGTCAATTAATACATATTTTGTATGTTACATTATATACTGTATTTTTACAAGCTAGAGAAAAGAAAATGTTATTAAGAAGGTCTAAAGAAGAAAAAATCTGTTTACTCTTCATTAAATGGAAGTGGATTGTCAAGGAGGTCTTCAGCCTTATTGTCTACATGAAGAAGAGGGGGGCCAGTTTTGCTGGCTTAGGGATGACATAGGCAGAAGAAAGCCACCTACCTATAAATGGACCTCAGAAGTTCAAGTCCATGTTGTTCAAAAGTCAGCTGTATTACTGTATTTATTATATGACTTTGTCATCAAAATAATTTAAGGCAGCTAACGAACTTAGAAACAGTATTATGGGAGAAAATATATTAAAAATAGAAAAATGGCCAGCACAGTGGCTCACGCCTGTAATCTTAACACTCTGGGAGACCGAGGTGGGTGGATTGCTTGAGTTCATGAGTTCAAACCAACCTGAGTAAGAGCAAGAGCCTGTCTCAACTAAAAATGGAAAAACTGAGGCAAGAGGATCGCTTGAGCCCAAGAGTTGGCGGTTGCTGTGAGCTATGACGCCACAGCACTCTACCAAGGGTGACAAAGTGAGAAAAAAAAAAAAGAAAGAAAACAAAAACAAGGTAAAAGGAAATTGTGGTGGAAAAACAAAATGGAAGCAGAAATGAAGTTTAGTATGATTAAAAACACACCCACGAGTCTCTGTATATGTTGTGCTTTCTAGATGTAGGCAACAAACTTGGGTCTAAACTTCCTAGCAACCAACTTGAAAAATGTAGTGTGACAGGTTGTTAAAATAATCTTGGGAACAAGGAAATAAAAACAAATTGGTTGTTCAAGAAAATTACAAATACTTTTTTTACTAATACCATTATACTTAAGTTATAGCTTTCCATATTTGAATTAAAGAACATCAAAAATTTTTCTTAAATGTGAGGAATGCAGTCATAAAGATGATTTTGAGGAGAACTATAATGACCAAGTTTATACTACACTTCAATATCGGGGTGAAAAGTGAACTCATTCAGTCTGCTTATTCTACCCAATACCAGTTATTTGAATATGTCTCCTGAATGACTGATGTCTTGGCATAGATATGGGTAAAATAACCAAAAAGCTGAAAAATAAGACATGTCAAGAAAAATGAAAAGAATTAGAATTTTTAAGCTTTGGAAAAACTGAAGCTAAGGTAAAAATTTAGCTTTTGGCTGTGATTTTTCACTATGTCTAACCCAAATACCATGATTTGGGTTTCAGCATGAAGGTTAGTGAAAGGAAAGATGATGGCTGGTGGTGATGGTTATTAAGTAGTTAGAGTTTGTTTAAATGCAGGCTATCTATTCCTTAAGCCGTTAGGGGAGAAGTGATCTTTGCCTTTAGGAGTACAGTTTCCTTAAGGTGGGGGTATAGTTGGGGTCTGGGGAGAAAAAGACTAGCAGATTTCAAATCTCTTTCATCCTGGAGAGTCTGTGATTTCAGATTATCTTTGCTATACATTTGTTAGGTTTTGGTACTGGTTTTTGGTAATCAGCAAAATAAAAGTCTGGCAGGCGCCTCACGCATGTGACTTTGCCTTTAGTTATTGTTTGAGCATGCCTACAGAACCCCAAAATAGTAAAATTATTATTAATTTAGCCGAAGAATCCAAGTATTCAAGATACCATGTAATTAGAGTCTAAAAGATGTTAAAGGACTTTTCAGAGTTTTTTAAAATTAAATTTGCCTAAATTCTTCTAAATGATTTTGTAGATTTCCATAAAAATGTGGCAAACATTTCTCTTATGGGATGTAAATAATCAAACTCTGTTGCACTGGAGAGTAATATTATAAAGCACTTAGCTAATCAGATTGTGAGAGTCGCTCAAAATTTCTAACCGTGTAATTTTTGCATCGAGAGAGAGTGCCTCATGCTGTGCAATTAACTGGTTTTATTAGCTATGAATTTGGCTGTTGTTGGCTGGCCCAATGGCCTAGTGCCTGTAGAAAATTAGGTCTTGGTTCTTGACCTGGCCTGGCACAGAAGAGCATCAGAAAGATATGGAAATCTTGTAGTAAGGACAGTGGCTGAGACCCTAAGGGTGAGTTGACAAGGAGCTTCTCATGCTTCTGTAACTAACTAAAGAGAGCACTGGAATTTTCCAGGTCTGGTATAATATTTGGATGTTCTGTTAATTAGCATTTCGTTCTGTATTCAAATTAGGTGAAGTGAAGAGGTATGGTTTAGTGATTATAAGCAGAGCTGTGAGATCAAACTACCTGTGTTAAAGATTTGACTTTGCTACTTATGTGCCCTTGGAAAACTTTTTAAATTTCCCCTTGCTTGGTTTCTTCCTCTATGAAAGGTGATGAATAGTAGGCCTTACCTCATGGTTTGCTGGGAGGATTTAAACATTCAATGTACATGAAGTGGTTGGCCTAGCTCATGGTAGGCACTCAGTAAGGGTTAGCTAGTATTACAGGGGAGTCTTTAAGTTGGAATCTCTTGGGACAATAATAGCTTTTTAAAAAATGCTTTTGAAGGACTCATGATTTTAGGGAATCTCTTTTTTTTCAAGAGAGAAGGGGGAGAAAATATCCAAAAAGAGGTAGCTTTCTGCCTGTGGATATTGCCGAGGAAGCATCGTTAAAGTCTCTCTTCCCACCGCCGTCATGTCTAAGTCAGAGTCTCCTAAAGAGCCTGAACAGCTATGGAAGCTCTTCATCGGAGGGTTGAGCTTTGAAATGACTGATGAGAGTCTGAGGAGCCATTTTGAGCAATGGGGAAAGCTCGCAGACTGCGTGGCAGTGAGAGATCCAAACACCAAGCACTCCAGGGACTTTGGGTTGTCACATACGTGACCGTGGAGGAGGTGGATGCAGCAATGAATGCAAGGCCACACAAAGTGGATGGAAGAGTTATGGAACCAGAGAGAGCTGTTTTCAGAGAAGATTCTCAAAGACCTGGTGCCCACTTGACTGTGAAAAAGATCTTCATTGGTGGCATTAAAGGAGATACTGAAGAACATTGCTTAAGAGACTATTTTGAACAGTACAGGAAAATGGAAGTGTCATGACTGACCAAGGCAGTGGCAAGAAGAGGGGCTTTGCTTTTGATATGTTTGGTGACCATGATTTTGTAGATAATTGTCATTCAGAAATACCATACTGTGAATGACCACAACTGTGAAGTAAGGAAAGCCCCATCAAAGCAAGAGATGGCTAGTGCTTCATCCAGCCAAAGAGGTCGAAGTGGTTCTGGAAATTTCAGTGGGGTTCAATGGAGGTGGTTTTGGTGGAAATGACAACTTTGGCCATGGAGGTGGCTTTGGTGGCAGCCATGGTGGTGGTGGTGGATGGCAGTGGGGATGGCTACAATGGATTTGGTAATGATGGAAGCAATTTTGGAGGTGGTGGAAGTTACAATGATTTTGGCAATTATAACAATCAGTCATCAAATTTTGGACCCATGAAGGGAGGAAATTTTGGATGCAGAAGCTCTGGCCCTTATGGTGGTGGTGGCCAATACTTTGCCAAACCACGAAACCAAAGTGGCTTTGGTGGTTCCAGTAGCAGCAGTAGCTAAGGCAGTGGCAGAAGGTTTTAATTATTCCCAGGAACAAAGCTTAGCAGGAGAGGAAAGCCAGAGAAGTGACAGGGAAGCTACAGGTTACAACAGATTTGTGAACTCAGCCAAGCACAGTGGTGGCAGGGCCTAGCTGCTACAAAGAAGACATGTTTTAGACAATACTCATATGTATGGGCATGTATGGGGACTGTATTTGTGACTAATTGTATAACAGGTTATTTTAGTTTCTGTTCTGTGGAAAGTGTAAAGCATTCCAACAAAGGGTTTTAATGTAGATTTTTTTTTGGCACCCATGCTGTTGATTACTAAATGTAATAGTCTGATCATGACGCTGAATACATGTGTCTTTTTTTTTTTTTTTCTTTTTAATGTGCTGTGTAAAGTTAGCCTACTCTGAAGCCATTTTGGTAAACTTTCCAAAAGTGTGAAGCTAGAATTCCTTCAGGGTGATGCCAGGTTCTATTTGAAATTCATTTACAACCTGCTTTGGTGAAGAAGCCATTGTCTTTTGGGGGGGCTTGAATATTTATTATTTTTATGTACAGAAAACTACAGTGTACGTTTAGCCCAGTTTAGTTGCAAGTTCTTTAGCCTTAGCCTTTTCCAGCTTGGCAATGTGAACCACAGACTTCAGGCCCAGGACGTTGCCTCCTCAGTGATGGCAGATCTCATTGTATCTGTCCTTGTAATTGGTCCTGATGGCTTCCACCAGCTTAGCTAGAGCTCCTTTGTCTTCTGAGTTAACCTGCGTGAAGGCCACAGTGGTGCAGGTTTTCCTGTGGAGGAGACACCCCAGCCTGGCCTTCCCCTTGATAATGCAGTAAGGGACCCCCATCTTCCGACACAGGGCAGGCAGGAAAACAGCCAGCTCAATGGGGTCCACATCATGTGCAGTCACCACCAGCTGAGCCTTCTTGTTCCCCACCAACGTGTTGACAGTGTTAACCCCTGCTCTAAGGACAGGTGGTCTCTTAGTGGGGGCATCCCCTTTGCCCGCAGCTTTCTTCTCGGCCCGGGCCAACAGTCCCTGCTTCTTCTCTTGCTTTGTTTCTGGTCTGTACTTGTGGGCCAGCTTGAGCAGCTGAGTAGCTGTTTGGTGGTCCAATGCCTGGGTGAACTGATTAATGGCAGGAGGTACTTTCAGCCGCTTGTAGAGGATGGCTCTTTGCTGCTGCAACCGGATGTAGCAGGGCCATTTGACAAAGCGGGTGAGGTCCCTCTTGGGCTGGATGTCCTGCCCAATGCCGAAGTTCTTTGGCCTTTTCTTGAACAGAGGATTCACTACCTTCTTGGCCTCCTGCTTCTTCACCGTGGCAGGGGCCAGGGCCACCTTCTTCCCTTTGGCCTTCTTTCCTTTTGGCATCTTGAGCTGCTGAAGCAGAGATCGAAGAAGCCATTGTCTTCAGAAACCTTGGTGTAGTTGAACTGAGGGTTACTGTTGTGACCTGAAGCTCACCATTTAAAAGGGTCATCCAAGGAAAATCATGGAATTATTGGCTATAAAGGTGATTGTTGGCATATCCTATGCAGTATATCTAATGGAACCAGATACAATTACAGATGAGAATGAAGCTCGTGTATCTACGATTATCATGTGTAATCAATAAACGATTTAATTCTCTTGGAAAAAAAAAAGAGGTCATAGACATGGATTCATTTTTTTTTAATTTTTTTTATTTTTGTATATTCTTTAATTCATATAAATGGAATCATACACTTTTATTCAATACACTTGGGAGTCAGTTCTGATTTTTCTAGAAAATTTGACATATTGTTGACAGGTATTGAAATTTAACAGCACAAAGTTGTGCAATGTCATTTCTTATAATTCTTCCAACTATTTTTTTCTATGTTCATTTCTCCCCATTATTTCTTTCTTTTTTCTTTTTTTTTATTAAATGATAGCTATATACATTAATGCAAACATGGGGTACAGTGTAGTGTTTTCATATACATTTTGAAATACTTTGATCAAGCTGGTTCACATAAATTTCATGTCATTTGCATAGTCATTGTGTCAAAACATTTATATTCTAGTTGTAGAAAAGTTCACTTGTACCCTTGTTAGACAGATATATAGGTGATCTTTCCAGTCACCCTCCCACCACCCAGCCACCCTTCTCCCCTCCCCTTCCCACTCCCTCCCCATATTCTTGGGCTAGACATGGATTCAAATTTTATTTATGACATTTGCTAGGCTGCAGGCAAGTGTGTTTGAGAAAATAAAACCAAAGACCCAATTTCTCAACACTTATATATGATGAAATATCTTACTTGCAAGGGTCAGGTCAGATAAATGCTTTGGAAATATTAAAGTGCTATATTTAGGTAAAAACATAAGTGAACGTGGGAAGTTGAATATATGAGGCTAATTAAAAGAAGCAAAATTTTGCGATTGGAATTCATTGCTTGAAGAAATACAGATTTACTCACAAGCTTGACTTGACTCTTAATGAAAGGTATTAATTATAAAGGAAATGAAAAGCTGTCAGAGAAAGGACTTAGCGTTGGTTGGGTACCCAGCATTTGCGAGCACTGGGATGAGATTACTCTTCCTATTTTATAAATGAGGAAACAGTCTCAGAGAGGTTACATAACCTCCTCAGAGTCACCCGGCTTGTAAGTGTTAAAGACAAGACTCAAACTGAACCCTTTTTACTCCAGAGTATGTCCTAATGCACCATGGTTAATTACCTCTGTGCAGTTTATCAAGTATTCATTGAATACCCACTCTGTGTAAAGTAGTGTTAATAGTAAATTAACTTTTAAAAACAAAAATAGGTAAAAATTTAAAGCATGAAGGAATTTGGAAGATAATTTTGTCCAACTGAGTCGTTTCCTAGAAAGAAAACAAGGTTTAGGAGTGACCAAGGCCATCCGTTTTGGAACTGGAATTAAATTTTCACTCATTTAGTCCACTATTCAATTAAATTATGTTTCCGGTCAGTTGTTTTTGATTTCAGATTAATGTAAAGGGTACCACTAGGTCACAGTGTTTGCGTTTGTTAGGTAAGGTCTCTGTGAGTGTTGTATCCCACTCCCAGGGGTCTGTCCAGTGTTTTTGAAGCCTAATCTTTCATTGCTTCTCAGGAGGCTAAGACAAGGAGGATCACTTAAGGCCAGGAGTTTGAAGCTATAGTGAGTTATGATCAAGCCATAGCAGTGGGTGACAGAGTGAGAACCTGACTAAAAAGATTAAAAAAAAAAAAAAAAGGAGGATATGGACTTACGGTAAAAAGTTTAAGAAATAATAAAAAAAAACTTAAAGTCACTTCTTCTTTTTGCCTCTTAGAGATAACCACAATTAGTGTTTCTTCCCAGTCTTTTTTCTAGACACATAATTTTTATTGTTTCTTAAGTATAAAAGTGACCTTGGAACTTACTGGTAATTTTGAGGCAGAGCTGTCTTTAGAGAGAGTCTTTGACCTTGGATGGATCATGCAGAGAGGAGACTGCATCAGCTGAATGACTGGAGGATCCACTTTTCTTTCTGTTACTGTTGTCCATTGATAGTCTTAAAATTGGTGAGGACCTCAGAGATCAAAGTCCGTGGGGTAGTGTGGAGGAGCAGCCGACATTGGTGGGCAGTCCACGTGTGCCTGGTGTCAGTGCCACATCACAGGCAATGTGGACTCTGATGAAACACAGTCCTGGTGCTGGGTAGGGAGGGTGATAGCTGTTGACAGCCAGGGAGAAAAGCCTGTTCCACGTGTCAGAGGTAAATTGAGGCTGCCCGCATAACGATGTGGGGCGTAATAAACCACTACTTTCAGTCTATAACTAGGTTGCTGTTGGTATCTGTGCTTTTTTTCAGATAAAGAAGTGAACTCAATTTTATTTTTAATCTGTCACATAAGTATGTTTAGACTGTGTTAGTAGAATATAAAATATGTAAACAAGTTTTAAAGACACAAAATCTTAAGAATCAAATGGCAGCTCTCCAAAATTAAAGAAACAAATTAAAATTTGAGCTTAAATTTTAAAAAATTCAAATTGAGGGAAAGGGATCACTCTGGAGATGAGAATATTTTAAAAACTGTTGGAAGTACTTTAAAGGAAGAGAATTAAACCTATGATAATTAACTTTTCTTCATATCTGATTGAATCAGTCATTGGGAACCCATGTGCTGACCAACTTCTGGCAAACTGAGCTCATTTCTCCAGGTAAATGCATAGAAATGCCAGGTAAAATAGAACTAATGACAAAAAGCCCACCACCTCCCCAGGTTTATCAACAAACTAAAACCCCTGTAATTTTTTCTGTAGAGAAAAGTAGGAGCAAGAGAGGAAGGAATTGTCTCAGCTGGAAGCAATGAGTGGGCACATATTTTGCTACAAACAAAATAATTTGTATGAACATTTTTGTACTCTGATAAGGATGTTACTTTTAGATATTTTTATGGATGGACTTTGATTACTCTATTGATCATATTGTGACCCTTCATTTTTATAGAGAGTCTTAGATCCTGAGTTAATTTTGTCACAATCTATCCCAGTCTCTCCTTAGATCCTCAAATCCTAATCTGGATGGAAAATTACATATTTATCCTAAGGATATTTAGACTTTGGATTGTATGTATAGACTGTGATCATTCATCTCTGCAAAACTCTGTAATTTCTTTTTTTTAAACTTTTTATTGTGGTAAAAGATAAATAGAATAAAATATGCCATTTTAACCACATTTAAGTATATAATTCAATGTCATTAATTATATTCAAAGTGTTGTGCAACCATTATGATTATCTATTTCTAAAATTTTCATCACCCCAAACAGAAACTGTGTACTCATTAAGCAATAACTTCTCATTCCCTCCTCCCACCAGCCCCTGGTAGCCTTTAATCTGCTTTCTTCAACTCTAAATTTGCTTATTCAGGGTACTTCTTATAAGTGGAATCATACAATATTTGCCCTTTAGTATCTGGGTTATTTCACTAGTATGTTTACAAGGTTCATCCATGTTTCAGCATATATCAGTACTTAATTTCTTTTTGAGGCCAAAATATTATTCCATTGTTTAAGCATCAGGGACCATTTTATTGGTGTATTTTTTTTTTTTTTGAGACAGGAGCCTCCAGTTGCCCCCCTGGGTAGAGCACTGTGGCATCACAGCTCACAGCAACCTC